GTTCCACTTCAAGCATTGCTTATATGTGAACAGTAACGTCTCCGTGGTGAAGCTAGCGGAAACCAGATTAAATAGCACCGACCATGTAAACTGAAGTGTAGATGTTAACTGTACAAAACTGTAAATAAGCAATTTAATCCACAGCACCACACCTAGGCTATTTAACATGCATTTACTGACACTGTAGAAATATGGTTAATGATATTTATTATTAATGTCACGAAAATTGTTATAGGATACTTAATGCCTATTAAATATTGGTTCAAATAAAGGCAATAAGTCAATTTTGATAAAGGTTTACTAATACTATAGTTAAATCTGGATTCAAGAATTAGCTTTTCATTAGGGCAACTACAAAGGACAATTTAATAGTTCTAATAAACTTTAATTGCAGAGAAATATGAATTCAATAATTAAGAGCCTGCAATATAATGGAATATTAATATTGTTAAATGCATTTTAAGTATTCAAAAATATAATTTGTTTTCATCCGTTATTTAATAATAAATAATTTATTCGAATTGCCCTAACCCCAGCAAAATATTTTTGGGGGACTGTGTGGGCCAGATGGGCTGAATTTTAGCACCAGTCCAGCCCTGATGATTCTCCTCTTATAGGGCCAGAAAGAATACCTTCTACTAATACAACTATTTAAACTAAACTCCTTAAGGGAGCTGTATGCTCAAAAGTTGTTGCAGCTTCTGGAAACGTTTGCTTTGACTTCCTATATATGGTGTTAATATATTTATTCTTTTAATGTGGGTTTGCTATAGCCCCAGGGCCCTATATGTTCTTAATCCAGGCCTGGTTGTGGAGTGCCTGCGATTAAACTACAGACGATCGGCAGCAGGATTGTGAACGGACAGAATGCAATCTCTGGTTCTTGGCCCTGGCAGGTCTCTCTTCAGGTAACTCATCTGTTTTTCAAACACACATTTGTCTGCTTTGTTTAAAGAGTAAATTTCATGTTTTCAATGCTTTTACCTTTTAAACAGCACCCCAGTGGTTTCCACTTCTGCGGAGGATCCCTGATAAACCAGAACTGGGTTCTCACTGCTGCCCAATGCGCTGTCATGTAAGATTCTTCAATCTGACAAACATCACATACAATAGTGGTTCATAAATACTCTGTCTGGTTTGTTTCTGTCTTTTATCTATTCATTTGATTTTTATCTCTCTTTTTAGGGTCTGCTCTCACCGTGTCATCCTTGGAGAACATGATCGTGGCTCCAATGTTGAACCCATCCAGATCAAGCTAGTTTCCAAGGTAACAATGTTTTATGATCTCAGTGGATCAGAGATATTGAAATAGAAAACTGAAAAAAGAGACGAAAAAAGAGACCAATTGATACTGCTTTTGTTATGGCCAATACCAATTACAAACGTAATACAAATAGAAGTCATTTTTAATAGTTGTTTTGTTACTCTTATTAAACACAAAAATCATTGTAGTGTACTGATGACCAAGTCATCAGTACACTACAAAAACATATTCATTATAAATATTTTAATAGTAGTATCTACTGTAATTTAAGCAAAGGTGTAATCTAAAAGTTTGCAAATTTATTTTAATCTTTGTTTTGGACTATAATTTAACTCACATATTTCTCATTTGTGATTGAACGGCCATCATTTAAAGGGGTCGTATGATGTTGCTAAAAATAACATTATTTTGTGTAGTTGGTGTAATGGAATGTGTTTATGCGGTTTAAGGTTCAAAAAACACATTATTTTCCACATACTGTACATTATTGTTTCTTCTCTATGCCCCGCCTTTCTGAAACACGTCGATCTTTACAAAGCTCACCGTTCTGAAAAGCGAGGTGTGCTCTGATTGGCCAGCTATCCAGTGGTGAACATTTGGGCGGTGTTATGCAAATCTTCCCACATCGTGACGTAGACATGTGGGGGCGTGTTAGAACGAGCCGTTTTAGGTAGGTGTGACTGACTCTTAACATTTATAAAGAATATCTCTTTGGATTTGAGACTTTAGTCTTTGCAACTTTACAGATCTTCTTTATGCACCAAGAGCTTGTAACACTCCAGAGAGAAAGGACAAATTGAAATCGCATCATATGACCCCTTTAAGATTTATTGTCTTGTTGTATGAGAAAGTTTGAGGGGGGGGGGGAAAGCTCTTTCTGAATTGTGAAAAACTAAACCCATTACTTTATATTGTAGACATACCATGTAAACATGATTCTAATAAAATAAAGCTGGCTAGCATTTTATAAATTACAATAATTTAAAAAAATGTGAAATATAAAATTGAAGACCAAGCTTTTGTAAAGGCAAACTAGCCTTCTCTTCCACACACAAATATAACATGTAAGTTACAACAAATGGAGAGAGTGCTTACTTTATCTTTGATTACCAACGAACAAAGACATAACAATTGATTTTAAAAAAACAACAACTACTAAATAAAATGTGTCAGTATGTAACAAGCATTACTGTTTTTTTTTTATCAGTAAAGAAAATCACTTCACTGTATTATAATGCTTTTTACAAAAGAATGTAATAAATTTAAGTGTAACTCTCTGGTAGCTTGTGATGTCTTTAAAGAAATTGTTCGACCAGTTTATTGTCCTTAATGTTGTTATCTAAAGTGGTGTTAAAGAAACTGATATTAGTACTAAATTTTACTTTAGCCCAGCTCTCATAACTGACATAGTCATAATGTGACACAATCCTGCAACTTTAGTCCCTTCCTCTTCAGTATCACTGTCTTGAACGGCTTACCAAGGTTGAATACAGGATTAGTTAACGTCACAGATAAATTAGAAAAGCAGCTGCTTTAATGCAAGTATAGCGGAAAAACTTAAGAAAGCACTTTCCATGATATATTGAAAAAAAATTTCAACATAGCAACAACACAACTTCAAAACAACTTCTAATCCAAGACACTTCATAACATACAATGAGAGAGTTGAAATCATGCTGCTTCTCAAGGAAATAGACAGAAGTCTTAAATCCCTTCATGAGGTCAAACAATGGGAGAATTCATCATGTTTGCACGTAGAACATCAGCTCTGGACAATGAAGATAAAAACTGTCTCCAGCAATGACAGATCTAAACATTCCTCAGCTATGAGCTCACTGGATCTGATGGGATGGACCTCCATCACGTCTCAGATTGATCAGCTGCTGTAAATAATATAAAAGCAAGAGAGAGCACCTACAGATACATCAGTGAGATACATCACACACTCATCTACATCATGACCTTCACCATCTTCTCCATCACCTGCCTTGCCCTGGTGGCCTCTGCTCTGGGTAAGTGTCTCCTTTATTTTGCAAGAATAATGATGGACAAATATAGACAATGCAAAACCTAAATTAAGAGCTTCCTGCCTCATTCTTGTCTCATGAATAATGTGTTATGTTCTGTAATAACAGGTTGTGGAGTGCCTGCGATTAAACCACAGACAATCGGCAGCAGGATTGTGAACGGACAGAATGCTATCTCTGGTTCTTGGCCTTGGCAGGTTTCTCTTCAGGTAACTGTGAATTGTCTTTTGCTACTGTTTTTCAACCACATATTTGTCTACTTTGCTTAAAGAGTAAATGTTCTGTTTTAAATGCTTTTACCTTTGAAACAGCTCCCCAATAGTTTCCACTTCTGCGGAGGATCCCTGATCAACCAGAACTGGGTTCTCACTGCTGCCCAATGCGCTGTCCTGTAAGAGTCTTCAATCTGACAAACATCACATACAATAGTGGTAAATAGATACACTGTCTGCTTTCTGTTGGTCATTTATGTATTCATTTTATCTTTATCTCTGTTTTTAGGGTTGACTATCATAGTGTCATTCTTGGAGAACATAATCGTGGCTCCGATGCTGAACCCATCCAGGTCAAACTAGTTTCCAAGGTAACATTATTTAATGATTTCAGAGAAGAATAACAAAATGAGATATTTATCGATAGTGCTTTGTGTTAAAATTAAAACAAAAAGGAAGAATGCTTGTATCTTAGGTTATCTTTTATAAAGCTTTCACTAGTAACCATTTATCTATTGTTTCTGTATGTGCAGGTCATCACCCATCCGCTCTACAGCAGGGCAACCTTCAACAATGACATTGCTCTGCTGAAACTGTCGTCTCCAGTCACATTTACTCCCCGTATCTCTCCTGTATGTCTGGCTCCATCAAACACCAGCATCCTGCCTGGAACCCGCTGCTTCACCACTGGCTGGGGCCAGACTGCCAGCACAAGTCAGTCAGCTGTGAAACAAAAAGAGAATAAAAACATATCTGTTTACTGTGCAATGCAATGTGTCATGATTTCTTCCCTTTTTTAGTGAGCCCTGAGGTCCTGCAGCAAACAGGCGTACCCATCATTAGTCCTGCTGTGTGCAGGCAGATCTGGGGTCAGAACAGAATCACTGATACCATGATCTGTGCTGGAGCCTCCGGTTCCTCATCTTGCCAGGTATAAGAAGACAAATCAAGAAGAAACACATTACCATATCAATGTTGCTGCTGTTCAGTCTCAAATGCGTGTTTTTCACAGGGTGATTCTGGTGGTCCTCTGGTGTGTGAGAGTTCAGGGGTCTGGACTCTGGTGGGCTCTGTGTCCTGGGAAACAAGCACTTGTGACACCCGTTTTCCTGCAGTCTACGCCCGCATCTCCCAACTGCGCTCCTGGATCGACATGACTATTGCTTCCAACTAGAGCACCAGTCTGATTATTTATCCACCAGAAGAGGCAAAAGCAGTTTTTAATTATTAAAATGTGATACAGTTGATCTCTGTTAGGTGGTGTTTTTTTCAGTCTATCTATGGTTCCAGTGATCTGGCGGTTACTTCATGTTACTGTTTTCTTGTTCCAGCTTTACAAATATTTTAATAAAAGATAAATTTAAAAATGAAGTGTATTGAAGAGTGAAATAAATGATCTGAATAATTAAAAATCTCTGTCCTCCATCCATGGTGCTGAAACCTGTGATATATTTCATCAGAAGCTTTTCACTTTTCGGTAACGCTTTAGATTACAACCCGCAAAGAACTATGTAAGTATACTGAATTTACGGTGTACGTTTCTGTAATTATAGTGTACCTATAAAGAACATACGTGTAGGTATAAGGGTACAATGTGTTACGTTTGGGTAATAAGGGTGTACCTCCCACCTTCAATACCACGACTGAGGTGCTCTTGAGCAAGGCACCGAACCCCCAACTGCTCCCCGGGCGCCGCAGCATAAATGGCTGCCCACTGCTCCGGGTGTGCTCACGTCACTAAAAAAGTGACGTGACATGTGTAACAACCAGATATGCAACTTGCAAAGAATTGCGTAAGTAAACTGAAGTTACAGTGTAACTTTTTTGTAATTATAGTGTACCTATTCAGTACCTCCATAGGTATAAGGTGGTGCTTTGTTCCCTCCTTGTTCCATGTAGTTACAGGGTAAATACAACATTTGTGGGCTGTAAATTAAAGTGGTGCTTTGTTCCCCCCTTGTTCCATGTAGTTACAGGGTAAATACAACATTTGCGGGCTGTAAATTAAAGTGGTGCTTTGTTCCCCCCTTGTTCCATGTAGTTACAGGGTAAATACAACATTTGCGGGCTGTAAATTAAAGTGGTGCTTTGTTCCCCCCTTGTTCCATGTAGTTACAGGGTAAGTGGCTACAACAAATTGCTCTGAAACGATTCAGAGCAATATGACAACAGTAACAACACAGGCAACAGATAGCCTAATAAAAGATTAAAATTTATTACACCAGTTCAGAAAAAAAGCAAAGCAACTCCATACTTATACAGATTATACAGTTAAACCAAATTCTTTTGAAAAGCTTGTTTAAGAATAGGTTTTGTTCAATTTGTTCATGTTTTTCACCCACTGACTTAATGACTAGTTGATTAACTAGTAATGACTAGTTAAACTATTATGGCCAAACTATCACGCCAATAAACACAGTAATAAACACTGAAAGTCAAGATTAAACTGTGTATTATAGCGAACTGACAGGATTTTACCGTCTTTGATTTACCGTTTTGATCCACGTCCTCAAGCACCATTTTAATTAGTTCCGTTCCCGGTTTTACCGCTCATCAGTCGCTGCTCTATGTTGTGAGAACATAGGGCAAAGTGGGGTGAGTTGTGCCAGTTTTTACTCAAAGTGACTTTAAA